ACTTAAAAAATTTTAATGACGATATTTATCTTAATTATGAAAATATACTAGCATGTTTTTTAATTTTTGGAACCTAACCCTCCTTTTCGTATTAGTTCTTTGTTTCGTATAACACGGATTCGCATAACACGGTAATTTTTTGGAACGTAACTACCGTGTTATACGGGGGTTACCTGTATAGTCAATGTAAATTACTAACTACATGTGAAATTAGGATATCAGTATAAACAAAATATTCTAAAATATATTCATAAATTTTTCTCTATTAAATTATGTGAATTATCTTTTAAAATGAATGTATTTTCTCATTTCCATGTGATTTAAATAATGATAAAAATAATCTATAAAAAGAGAACCTGAAAATATTTTCATTTCTTGTTTAAACATGTCCTTCAAAGTTTCATCCTTGAGCAACAAAACACTTTTACCAGAATTCATATAACAACTCTAAGCATCTCTGGAAGCCATCTTTCTCTACTTGGCACAGAGCAATCATTACAACTTGAATATTCCTGCCCTTCACAGAAATATTTATGCCACTCATACACAGAAGCATATGCCTCACTCAATACTTTTGTCCTGTTCTGTAAAACATACAATTTTGTGTTAGCATCCTGTTTCTGAAGTGATATTCCATTGCTCAACTTCACTCACAATGAGCAACAACAAATCCCTCTGTGGATTGTTATGCCAACTGTCAATGACTATGCGTTTAGTAATAAGATTGTGTAATAATACCTCCCAAATGAATTTATCCTATGTTAAATTCTTATTTTTACATTCAAATGATACAGATTATTCTACAATGATATTTATATAAAACTAGAACAGCATAAGCTGACTTACTGACTATACAGCTTATAAAGACAAAAGCCATTTATAAACATAAAAGACTTCCATCCAGGAGTCTAATTTTATTAAATATTTTTGAGGATTATTTCCTCTTAGTCAGAATCTCCATACTACATAATCATAAAAGTGAAAATTAGATTTAAGTTACAAATAAACATCATTAGAACAACATAAATAATGCAATTTATTCAGATTTATAATTTGCAGAAACATTAGGAATTAATAGCATTTTACACATTATTCTTTTTAATCAATCTTTTTAGATCCTCTCTTTCTATTCTAAAACATTTTTAAAGTTTTTTTTAAAATTCTGAACTATGTTACCTCCTAACAACAGGAACGATAAAACTATGGCATGTTATAATTCATTTCTCATGTGTGCATCATATGATTTCAGATACTTTTCATAACATAATTATAATTATTACTTATAAATAACAAAATAATAATTTTTCCACCTGAAATATTTCAGTTGGAAAATCAGTTCAACAATTTTAATGATAACAAAGTAAATGTCATTTATCTTTTTTAAGTTTTCTATTTAAAGTATATTCATTTCTTTAAAATATATTTTTGAATTCTGTTTTGGTAGGCAAACTCAAAAAGATTTATCACTCCTACACTAGGACCTTCTTAAATTTTAATGGTTTTAATTAGTAGTTAAATGGGAATCATGAAGTAGCTATAATGATTAAATGTACAGTTGATCCTTGGTAAGTCAAATTTTATTTTTGTCCTGACATAACTTAAACAAACTCAATGCATTTTGTCTCTTTAGAGTCAAAATGGTTTTGACAATACATTTGGATAGCTCAAAATGTAAGGTTCTAGTGAAGAGACTTCATGTCTGACATTGTATGTTCTCTTTTTTACAGGTTTATATTAAAGACCAAATACTTAATCATGTATACTTGAAGAAAGATACAAATTTACTTAACATGTTGATCTTAAATCATGACACACAAAATTTAAATGAATAATATGCCTAAAGTAACAATTTTATTCTTAAACACAAATTAGTCAACGAAATTTTGTCAATAGCATGCTCTCAATATTTTCAAAGAGGCCTTCTAGTCTTATTTTGTTTCATGTGTGATATGGCTTCTCGAAGCTGAACATGAAACATCTTAGATGTGCTTGATCATCTCAAAAATATCTTATTACACAAGTTTTTGGACTGCAATTTGAAAAAATTGTAACCTATAAATTCCCACTGTCCTTCTATCTTTCCTTAAATAAGTCTCAAGAATGGTTAGATAAATGAAATTTAAGACCAGATACAGAAAGCTTAGGGGCAGGAGGCCCTAATTAACTATATTTGAACTTCCAATGCAAACCGGAAGTCATGTTATTTCAATTAAAAAATTTT